ATCTCGTACATATCTTGAACTGGATGTTCTGTAATCAATACATCTAAACCTGAATTTATCACCTTTCCCCAACCTTTCCCCTCTTCTTAATTTTCCAGTTACTGTGCAGGGCACCACCATCCTTTCAGTCAGTCAAGCTCACAATCTAGGTGTCTTAGACTCCTTACTCTCTCAAGTCCCTACCCCCTGCCCTTAATCAGTTGCTAAGTGTTGTCCTTTTACTTTGTTTTTGTGGTCATTCAGTTGTGTCCAATTCTTTGTGACCCCATTTGGGGTTTTCTTGGCAGAGATAGTGGAGTGGGTTAGTGGTTTGTCATTTCCTTCCCAGCTCATTTTACAGATGATGAAACTGAGGCAAACAGGATTAAGTGACTTGTCCAGAGTCATACATTAAGTGCTGTGGACAGATATGAACTCAAAATGAGTCTTCTTGATTCCAGGCCCTGTACTGTATGCACTATGGCACCACCCAGCTGCCCTTCTACTTTGTAGCCTCTTTTGTATACACAATCTTTTCTCCTTTGATACTGCAACCACCCTGGTGGAAGTCCTCATGACTATTCTATCACAATAACCTTCTGGTTGCTTTGCTTTTCTCAAGTCTCTCTCCACTCCAATATATCCTTCCCTCAGCTGATGAATTTAACTCTGACCATGTCACCGCCCCTTTCCTGACCTACCCTAACTCATACAGCAGATTCCAGTCACTTTCTATTATGTCTTGGAGAAATACAAAATCTTCTTTTTGGCTTTTAAAGCTGTCCTTTATGCCTCTAATTCCATCACTCCTCATATCTGCTTCCCGGCTTGCTTCAAATCCCAGGTAAAAATCTCACCTTCTACAAGAATCCTTTGTGATTTGGTTAAAAAAAGCCTTTGCCCTTTCCATTTTAAGAGGCAGAAGGGAGCTAGTTATCCTGTATATATCTTGTTTACATATAGTTGTTGCCTGCTGTCTCCTCCATTAGACTGTAAATTTGTTGAGAGCAAAGACTGGTAACTGTCTTTCTTTGTATCTCCAGAACTTAATATAGTACCTAGCATTTAGTAAGCATTTAATAAGTGCTTGTTGACTGACCGAATGATCTCAGCAACATTATAAGGACAATTTTTACATGCAGATGAACTGTTGTTACATGATCTCTTCAAAATAAATTACTATTACTTTATTTCTTCAAAATATATATTTATCAAGCATACTTTACTTTCAGCTTATTCACATTTCAGTGTTAATTACTATTTTCCTTAAGCAAAATGCTTTTTTTGCATTAAACATTTAGCACCTTTCTTCTACAGTTCCCCACTACAAAAGCTAATTCATCTTCATTGAAAGAACTCTAAGGTTTCACTTCACACCTTGCAAATTGGCAGAAATGACAAAAAATGGCAAAAGTCAATGTTGCAGGGATTGTGAAATGATAGGCATGCTAAACCACTGCTGGTACATTGTTGGTAGAGTCATGAAATGGTACAATCATTTTGGAAAGCAATTTAGAATTACGCAAATAAAGTGACTAAAATGTTCCTACCCTTTGAATCAAAGATTCTATTACTGGGCTTGTATACCAAGGAATCCATCAACAAGGAAACCCCTCATATACCCCCAAATATTTACAGCAGCTTTTTTTTTGAGACAGTAAAGGACTAGAAACAAAGTCATCCATTGAATGGATAATGGCTAAACAAACTGAGGCACATGAATGTAATGAAATATTACTGTGCTACAGTAAGAAATAAGGAGTGTGATGAATACAGAGCAGCATAGCAAGATCTCTATGAACAGATGCAGTGTGAAGTAAGTAGAGCCAAGAAAAAATAACCCAGAACTACAACAATGTAAACAGGAAGAATCACACACCAAAAAAACCTAAAAGTGAATATAACAAAATTATGAAGAGCAAGTGGGACTCAAAGGAAGAGATATGAGAGGACACTCCCAACCCACTTCTTCCTGGAAGTGGAAGATCCACAGATACTACACAATGAACATGTTTTCAGAGTTTTTCAGTATATTAATCAGGTATGCTGATTTCCCCCCTCTTTTTTTTCTTTCTTTGGTCTTTAAAAAATATGATTTGTTATAAAGGACAGCTCTCTGAGAGGGGGAAGAGGAGATATACAGGGGTTAACTATTATAATATATGAAACAGGAGACATCAATAAAACTTTTTTTTTAAAGGAAAGAATTTCCTTCACCAGCCCAATAGAAGAAAGTTATTCTGCATGAGAACCAAGACGTTCATAGGTTTCACAGTTCTCATGCATCTGTCTTTTCCATAGTTCTCCATTTTCATAGTAATTTTATATTATTAGATTATATATATGTTAAAAGGCTTTGTACTGATGTTTGTGTACTTAATTTTTAAAGGTAAAATTCTTTATCCTAGAAAATATTTAAATAAATTTTATATACATGTATGTAAGGACACATAAAATAATTCATAGAAAAAATAAAAATTTCTGGCTATTTCTATTTTATAATATCAACATAGACTATAAAAGAAACATTTAACTCAAAGTTTTGTTGTCAATTGCAGAACTTCAGTATATGAGATATTGAAAAATTTCTAGGCTGTAAACAGACAAGAAAAGGTAGAAGAGAAAGAACATAGAACTTTCACAAAATATCAGGTTTGGAAGAGACCTCGGATATTATTCAGTCAAATCTGTATCTGAACAGGAATTCTCTCTGTAATACAATCCTAATTCATCATCTTATTAACTAGCTATCTTTATGCTATATAACAAGTTCTATGTGAACCAGTGGATGAACTGAGAAGTAAAAACGATTATTCAAGTCACAAAAAGGCTACTTAGCATTTACAGGGAACAGAATGAAAAAATTTAGTAACTAGCTTTAATGGAAGTCATTAACAAATGTCTTCAGAAATAACTGAGTATATAGGGAGGACAGGGCATGGACAGATGGACACAGTAGCATGGTAGAGAAAAAAGTAGTCAGAGGATTTCGTTTGAATCCTTTCTGTGCTATTTATCACTTGTATAACCCTGCCACTTAACCTGTTAGAGTTTCCGCTCCCCATCTATAAAATGAAGGGACAAGGCCTCTAAGGTCCCCTTCCACCTCTAAAACTATGATCCTATACAACTGGGTCTCAGTTTCTTTATATGCAAACTGAAAATGTTGGATAAGATGACCCTCAAGGTCTTCTTCAGTTCTAAATAATTGTTAATATGGGATATGAGGCATCTTGAATGGAATTTTAAAAACAACTTAGAATTAAAAGCTTTAGTTCACTATATTTTATTGAAAATTATTTGGCCACTAAAAATTAGTCAAAAATAATGTTACACATTAAAAACATTAACTCATTTACATAGGGCTTTAAGGTTTATAAAAAAGCACCTTTCTCTTAACAATCCTATAAGGTAGGAAGCAAAAGATTATATACAATGTAAAGACAAGGAAACTGAAGCTTACAAGTGAGGTAACTTGCAGGAGTTAGAACTGGGGCTGGAACTCAAGTCCTTTTGACTCTAATCTTAAGGATCTTTGCCCTAGTGACTTCTTCTGGGTTTTTAGTTTTCTTTGCTAAACCTCTGGAGTATTATTATTAGTACAAAATACTCTGAATTGAGAGACATAACTTTGACTATTGACATCCTTGCTTATCTTCCCCTAATTTGACTATCTTAGGAATTTCTTTCCTGTTTATATCAGGATGATAGCCTGAAGAGAATGATATATGAAATATAGCCAAATCTATGAAAGTGAACATGTCTTAATGCTGTACTCTGTTTAATTAATATGAATATACATACCATTGGTTGAAACAGTTACTTTGTTGGATAGACATATTCACAATAACAGGGATAGAGTAAGAAGGGACTTCAGAGGCATTTAATCTATAGCCCTCTAAAAAAAACTCAGGGCCAGGGAAGTTAAGCAACCTGAGCATATATACATATATACAGACTTGGGCCACTTAAATGATGGCATCTGAACACTTCCATAAGTAATCAATCCTTGTTAATATTTATTTTCCATATGTCTTATTTGGTTATACTATCTAAACTGCACAGCAGTGTCAATAAGATTATAGTGGCAATAGGATAATACACAGGGATTCAAAGATGGTAAAGAAGAGTAGAGCATATATTCTAGATATGGGCTACAATTCTTTCAGAAAGTCTTTGTGATTTCAAAGGTGGGAAATATTAAAAGAATAAACAAACATACAGGGTTACCTAACAGAGTCAATAAAATCTATGGAAGTGCTACACAAGTAATTTGGGTAATCTATAAGGTGCTAGATGTTTTAGTATACTGAGTAACCATGAACAATTCAGGTATCAGCCAAAAACATTCTTTAAATATTAAATTTAAATATATAACAATCATATGTCACCCTTAAACCCACCTACCTTTATAGGAAGCATATTTTAACTGGGTTGGGGAAATAAATAAAATGTACTGTGAATACTATTCATTTTTATCTACCTTTTAAAAAAAAACCCTGCAATCCTTAACATCAATTGTTCTTGCCTGCTACTCTCAAGGTAGAATTTAAAGAAAATAAGATCTAACAAAAATAAATGGATGTAGATAAAAAAGGGAAGAATGAAAACAAAATAAAGCATTCTATTTTTGAGACTGTGTCTTGGTAGTATGTTTCTCTGTAGGGAACAGATTTTGAAGTTCAGAATTAAATACTTATGAAAGAGAATCTGGGTGGACACAATACCGCTTGGGCCCCAAAGGCCATCCATTCCTTGAACTGTGACAAATAGCAAGCAAATTTAGAATAAGAGAAGGCAGCGTACTGTTTAAGATGACTCAAAGTCCTTATGGGCAATATCATAGACTAATTTCAGTATTCAGAAATATCTAAATATATACTCTCTGCATTTACCAGCATTTTAATAGACAATATATCATTATTTTATTCATTAATCTAGCCAGACCATCTGGGACACTTTAATGTAGTTATCAGTGAAGTCAACCTTTTAAACAGCAATTAAAGCTCAGGGATACTTACCCTGCAAACTGGACATTGCCAGTGGCTACTGCTGTCTCTAAGCCTGAACTCATCAGATAAACACTTGGAATGATAAACACGAAAACACAGGTCACATATCAATACCTCTCCAGGCAAATGGCATTCAAAACAATACCAGTCATGATTTTCTGTTTCCCAGTCCTACAAAAAAAAATAAAAACAAAACCAAAACTTGGTGTATTATTTTGCTGATATCTTCAACAATGCAGAATAAAATTAAAATTTTGAAGCCCTTAGGTAAAATAATTTAAGCATCTGAATATTTACTATATTTGATTTTTATTAAATTTTTTTTAAAAAATCTAGAATCTTAAAAGACTTCAATAATTTTCAAAAATGCTGCCCTAAACACTATAAATGAAGATAAAATTTCAAAATCAATCCAAATTTAATTTATATCCAAAGCTATAAAATTATCTACCACCCAACTTTTATATAAGCAATGATCAATTTGTTAACAATTATTATTGAATTATAAATTAATTTATCAACACCTTTGTCTTAATTTGTACTCCCAGAACTTCGCAGAATTCCTACTGCACAGTAGGTGCTTAGTAAATGTTTTCTGACTAACTAAATCACCAGAGGCTTTGTTTTAATGAACCAACTATTAAGTTTGTTAAGCATCTAGAATAATGTGAGCTCCAAGAGATTATAATCAGTGTCAAATTATGATCTCCCCTATTTTCTTTCATGATACTGGAATTATTTCATTTAAACAACTATCACACTAATTTAATTAACTTACCATTAACTAGCTTATACACTTTTGATTACATCATCAAATTCTGAATCTGAATGTGAAGGAATACAGTTAAAAAACTAAAACAAAAAGTTTGCCAAAATGCACGTTAAAATGTAGCAATTTTTAGGGCTGAGTGTTACTATTGATATTTTTGGATGTAAATAAATATAATTGTTAGTACATAGATGTTCTCTGCATTTTCTTTCCATCCAGCCTTTTCCCTTTCCACAAACACTATTTCAAGCGCTCAATAAAAATGATCTTTATAAGAGAGTGATAATGTAATTTGCAATCTTGTTTTGTGGAAATGAACTCCCTTCCCTCAACCCCATTAACTGTTTTACCATGAGTAGCACCACTCCTTCTAGAACAAGATTGGATAACTGATTTGATGAGTCTTCATCTCATTTCCCTTGAAACCATATGATATATAAATAACCTTTTCAGATATGTAAAGAAACTTGCTTTTAGTAAACTCTTTTGCTGTTTTCCATTCTACAAACAACTACTAACAATTTAAGTGTCTGTGCAGATATTTTGTAAATTTTAACTTAATTTTTTTTAATTTGAAAAAGATCAGAATATTTTATTCATGGTGGTTTGGAGATTTTTATAGGATTTTGGTATCAAATATTCAACTTAGTATAAGCAACAGTGCATTGCGATCTCACATTATTTACACATTTTTCAATTGTTTTAAATCAAGAAGCGATTTTCATGTAATAGTCAAAATAGCAGTCGACAGAATGCAGGCTACTTAATGGAAGAAAGCAAGAGGAAAAAAAAAGTCTTCCCCCAAAAGAAATAACATAAGTTGTTTCTATCACAGAATATGGTTAGTTTTAGATCCAATTTTTCATAATACAAAATTAAAGTGTGATAATCAAGATACACTACAATGGGATAGCTCAAGATTGGGCAAATATGTAGAAATTTGTCTATTTGTGTCCTCTACTCTGTTGCCAAAGTGATTTGCTTCAAGCACAGGTCTGATCAAGTTGTCTCTCAAAAAAATCTAAGAGTTTCGTATTAGCTCTAGAACCAAATATAAACTTCTAGACATACTGATCTACCTGTCCTGCCTCATTCTGCGCTATTTCCCTCACTGGTCTAGCTTGCTGTTTGTTCTTCTAGTCTTTGTGCTGGCTATCCTCCATACCTGGGATGCATCACTCCCTCATCTCTGCTTCCTAGAACCCCTCTGGAGTCTTCCCTGGCTGATGAGACAGTGATTCTGTAAGAATTCTGTATCTGCTTCTATTTTAGATGCTGATCTCTCAGACAGTCTAGAAGCTCCCTTAGAGCAAGGACTGTCTGACTTTCTGCCTTTGTATGCCCAGCACCTAGCATAGTATCTGCCACACAATAAGTACTACAGGAATGGCTCTTCATTAAGGAATAGAGATATTTCATGTAAGGGTCTAACTGCCTCCTGGCAAAATTTGTATGGTCTAAAGTCTATCTTTAATCTCAACGTAGCAATTGAAAATACACTCTAGCATTTTCCAAAAGGGTTGATTCTTCATATAAAAAACACAAAAATTCTACTAAATGCCAGAAGAAATAAGCATGTGTAATCTAAGTAGAGATGCTTATAATATACATTATAGAAGAAAAGAGTTAAGCAACAAAATCTGGATAAAATGTTCAGACTTAAAACTCAACTCATGTAAGCAACAAGTTAAATTGTACTTTCAGTATGTTCCACCAGATGTCACCAGCTACTCCGTAACTTGGTTAAAAGGAACCCAGAAAAGCAAAGCATGGGGTAACTTGCTTCCATTTGTAAAACAGCAGACAGGATTACTGTCCTTCAAAACTGGAAGCCAGGTGATAATAGGAGGGTTTTAAGAACTTACTCTAGATCTAGTGATCCAAATTATCCTAATAGAACACAGAAATGTATAGAGGAAATACAACAATTCAGGACATACCCCAGAGTGCCAAGGAAATTCACTTGTTGTCCTGAAGAAAGACTTCCTAATATATGACTTTTAAGACATAGACAAAAAAAAATTCTTGCCTACATTCTACAATTCTGCTTGGCATCCACAATATACATAGGAATACACAAAGGAATTCATACATGGAAAATGTACTGATATACAATACTGATATTCAATTTCTACTACAAATTTAAGCAAGTTACTTCATATTTTTATAACTTCCCATATTTTTAACTACCATTCATGAAGAGGTAATAGTATACAAACAAATATTTACAGTGGTTTAAAAGGGATTAAGCTATTCTTACGAACACAAAAATTAAGATCTTTTTCTTAGTGCATAGTGAATCCTTTAGTTATGTCAGAAAAAACATCATATTGACCAATACATTTATTTTCATTGTAAAATTGAATGTGTTAAAAAAAACCTTCAATGAAAAGAAAAATAAGTCTTAAAGACCTAAAATTTGTTTTAAATATTATTAAATACAAATGGAGCTGATACAATGTGAAAGTGACCTCAGCGCTTCAACAAAAATTTGTTAATTTATTAAGGATTAAAATTTTCCATAATTTGGCAGCAGTCTAGATACCTAAAATTGGTTAGTGTGCCATGAATCTACTACTTGATCACAATGCCCACAGGATTGATTACCAATTTGTAAAACCATATATCCTGCTTATACTAATCCTTTACATCTCATTAACATTTTTAAGGTCAGACACTGTTAGCTCCATTTTACAGATAAGGAAACTGAAGAATAATGACATAAAATTACTTGCCTAGAGTAACAAAGCAAATTAGTGGAAAAGCCAAGACTAGAATCCCAGGTCTCTTAAGTTTGGTGCTCTTTCCACATAGCTAATTGTTTTGGAGTGAAAAGGAGGTTTCAATTTCATTCAGCTTTCCTTAATAAACAAATATATACACATATAAATACATGTATGTATAAAATATATAGATGATATTATTAAATAAACGTGCTGTATACATTATTTTTCTTTTCTTTCATGGAGTGGGGTTGGGTGGATATGGCTCTGTGATTACATCAGTGGATGAAACTCCTAGGGTGTAAACTATGAAGATACACAATTCTTTTCTAATTTATAAGATTAAAGAGCTGCCTAAAGAACTGAGTGGTTAAGAGTCTAATCCAGGGTCATGGTAGTTATGTGAGAAGCAGAACATGAATCCAGGTCTTCCTGTTTCCAAACTTGGTCTATCTACTGTCATACTGCCTTCCCCTTCATAGCTACAATATAAATTTATATTTCTATAATTTACTGTTTGGTTTTCACTTTTGTCTTAGTGTATTCAATTTCTCATGAAAGTACATGAATCTGATGAAAAAATATTTCTAACTATGCTATCAGAGTAACAGAATAATCTAGAGCAAAAGAATAAAAAATTAATTTTACCATTTCATTTAAAAAGTAGCTATATATGTTTGGGTGTTAAAATAGTATGAAATTCTGCTTACCAGGTAATACAAACAGGATTGAGTGGAAAGAAAGTATTCAAATTGAAGTAGAAGAACTTAACAGCCAAGACCTGAGTTCAAGTTTCCCGTTTCTCTTGAATCATAAGCAGCAAAACAAATTGGTGGAAGCATTCCAACAGAAAACGTAAGCTACATTCCCTGTATTGTATTATTTTTGTAGTGACATCAACTATGAAAGAAGAAACAAGAGACCCTGAGTTCAGGTTTGGCAGGTAAGTAAATGGGGAAATTATTTATAGCAATGGTCAATTTATATTTGATGAATTTCAAAATTAACATTCAAAATGAATTTTCTGTTTTCTGATTTTTACTTTGCTTAATAATAGATGAACAAAACTGCTGCAAAATTGCAGACTATACTCTGGACTGTAACAATACATGGTCATTAGACAGATGACATTAACTATACTGATTCCCAGATCCAGTCAGTTAAAACACCCTATAACAGTGAGTGGTCAAAATCAAAACTGGCTCATCTTATATATTACCTTACACAACAGTATAAGGAAATCTAACTGTCCATTGACTGCAAAAATTTAAATCTTCATTCTGAACTCAAAAAGATGAGGCTATTTTTTTTTACAGAAATAGCTACTCCATTCAAACTCCACTGATGATGGAAAATTCTGCCTAAGAAATAATCTCACTAACTGAATGGCTAATGTGGTGACACTTTATGAGATGGGAAGCAACAAGGTTTTAAGACAAAATAGCAATACTAGCTAGAATTCATAAAGTAGCACTTGAAGGTTTGCAAAGCACTTTATAGATATCTCATTTTCTCCTCATTAACAACCCTGAAAGATAGGTGCTATTATTATCCTTATTTTATAGAGAAAGAAACTGAGGCAGGCAGAGGTTAAATGACTTGTCCAAAAGTCACAAAGCTAGTAAAAATCTGAGGCCAGATTTGAACTCAATTTCTTGATGCCAGGTCCAGTACTCTAT